ACACACTAACATAAAAGACATCATTTTAACCAACATAATTCAAAGAGCATCACCATAGATATTTCTGTCATTGACCAATGTAGAAAACTAATACATACGTTTAAAGAAGATTGTGAAAACTTTTTAAAAAGGGAACAATATTTTGAGTGAATCACTGAATCTTAGCTCAAAATGTGGAATTTTCTGAAATATAGTTACTTCATTTATCTTTCACACTTTCAAAATTTACGAGTAACACTGAAAAAAATAAAATAAAATAAAAAGAAACAGTGGCAATTGATATGAACACCCAAATGTTGTGCCAAACACCAAATAAGTTGTATGCAGAATTGGGTTTTAAAAAATCAACATCAGACAAGCATTTCTTTAAGTCAACCAAAGTTCTTTTCCATCGCTTAGGATAATTAATTGCTAAATTTATTGCCCAAAAATAAATTTTACCACCAATCCCACCCTGCAGTATTAAAGCCAACTTTTGATCAAATGTAAAAAGTTGCTAACTGACTCAGTATGGCATTCAACTGCAAAATCTGCTTCTCGAAGAAATCATAAAGCTTATAGAACAAAAATACAGTAAAAAAGTAAAGCAATTTACCATAGATTGAATTCCATCAATACATAATGTTAAATATCAACAAATAGTATTTATGGTCTATGTACAAGTTTTGACACCCTGCATCATAATCCTTTTCTGACCATTAAAAAAAAAATACATATCGATAGAATGGGATAGCAAATATACCACCGAGTCCTCGAAAGATTTGTTTTACCACATCGAACCTTGAGAACAAGATCGTACCATGTGGAACCATGTATCTACCAAATATTTCATAACAAACAAGGAACAGTGCCAACATATATACAATCAAAGACCCACACGGATTTCAATTTAGGCCACTTCAAGCATAATTATATGTGAGCAAATCAAGAACTAGCACTGTAGTTTGCATTAAAGATCTCGAAGGGCAGCATACAATGGTTCAGCAGCCTTCGGTCTATCCACAGTCCCAAGAAGGATATCAGCTGTAGTAAGGTATGGATCACCATAAAATTGAAGATTCGTATCTATCCTTGTCGCAACAATGTTTCCTTCCAGTGAGACTCCCACAAACACAAAAGGAAAAACGAAAAACTAGGTTCTTCACCCCCAAGAAGTGAGCACTACTTTCTTTTCATAAACGCACAAGAAGATTACTGGAGTGCAAAAGCAAATAGTCCTTTAGTTTATGTTAGGTACATTTTAACGAACGGTCTTGGGCGATAGTTATGCAGTGCTGGCATGATGCCAGGGAAATACCCACTTCCCAGTGGATTGTAGGCATAACCTTATTTACTCCGTAGAAGTTTTCAGGAACCCGAATGGAAGATATCTCAAAATAACCTGGTAGTCAAGATCAAAATTTGAATCACTGCAAGGCTTTTGAAATACAACAGACAAAATCTGATCTTTAGAAGGAAGATATTGAAAATCTCGAGTGTGAAATTTGATAAACATAATTTATAAAACATAAATAATAAATCAAACAAATTAACTACACAAGGAGCAAGAGAGAGAGAGAGAGAGAGAGAGAGAAACTCACTGTGACAGCAACAGGCAAAGAAGCTGGGAGCCTGAGACTGGCTGAGACAAGACCACGAGACTGAGACGCCGTCACTCCGGACGGTCAGAGAGGCTAGGCGTGGTAGTGCAACTTACAAACAGCAACGCACAGGCACAGCACAACAACAGTAGGGCAGCCAATCGCGGTCATCTCCCTCCTCTATGGTTTGTTGGGTTTCAATTTTGGAATTGGGGATTTGCAATCTTGGATTTGGTTTTGTTTGTGGCTAATGGGTTGCAAATTGGCCCAATTCATTAGGCCTTATTGTTTTGAAAAAAAGGCCCAAACACTGAATTGAAACAAAATAACAAAGGAAAAAAAAAAATTTCACCAGGCGCCGGCTACCTTCTTCACTTCTTCCCGGCGGACCTAGCACGGGCGGCCGCAGGGGATGGCCAGATGTTGGGTCCGCCTCTGACCATGAGTATCTAAGAAAATGTGAAGAATATTTGAAATTATTCTCGGAACATCACACACAAATTATGGCACAACTACCCGTAAAATTGCATGTAGGAGTGCTCATCTCATTTAGGTTACGTACTCATTGAGCTATTCTTGTGGTTTTTTTACCTTTACTTTTAAGTGAAAAAATGTAGACATTCAAAGATTGATTTTACATTTCTTCTTCTTTAGAAGAATTAGTTGGTACAAATCCTCTTTGGAAACTTTATTACCAGAAATTATAATCTTTGTGGAGGTACCAAATCTATTGGCAAAAGTCTGTTTAAGCAAATAGGAACATGTATGCATGAGCGTCATGTTCTCTGTCGTGTAAAGAGATACTAAAGATAGTTTTTCTTTTTTACTTTTTTTCTACATTTACTTTTTGTTTAACTATCCTTTTCTTCTCTTTTCGTATTAAAAATAAATTCATCAACCTTGGAAAGATATCATTAAAAATAGCTATTAAGTTTAATCCTATCCTTATTTAAAGAGTGCCAAAGAAATGAAATGGAAGAAAGAAAGAAGAAATTATTTAATATTTGTATGTTTTTGGAGGTTTGAGTTCCTTAAAATTGAGTCCATCATAATTGTTTATTTCATTACTTTGATACAATTTTTTTGTACATAGAAAAAAAAAAAAAAGACTTCAATCCTTCACCAATTATATTATTTTTCTTTGGATTAATTGTAGAAAACCAGTTAGAAACGTTTCCATTTGCGATATATACCCTACCTATTGGAAATCGCAGAAAAACTCCCCATTTGAGACATTTTGTGCGAAAAATCCCCTTATCGTCAAGATCCGTCAGCTTTTCCATTAAAAATAGTAAAAAATGTCAAAATTTAAAAGGAATAATTACAGCAAGTAACCGAACTCTTGCATTGAGATCAGCGAACCAATCTAGTTCATGTATTCTTTACTTGCTTTCAATTTCCATTTCTTGATATATTTCTCTCGATAATTAAAAATAGCTCTTAATCCATAACACCAATGAGAATTTTCTCATTTTTACCTATAAACGTAGGTGAAATACTAAACTTCTATTGTTGTTTCTCGCTTTTATACAGAGCATTCTCTCTTTTGTTTAGAAGAATCTACCATTCTTAAAGCTAACGTCTTCAAAAAAGTATATTGCCTAGCTTTATTAATTCCCTTGTTTATTAATTATTTTTTTCTCTATGTCAAAGTGGAACAATGACATATGTAAAAAGATAAGATTTAGTACTTTTTTCTAACATGTTAATGTTTGGTGGTAGGAAAACCATAGAATGCATGTTCCTTGATTTTGCATGGCTGATTTAGTAATGGTACGTAACATGGCTGATGTATCAATTTTCAATGTTAAAGATTTTTTTCTTCATGATAAAGGAGCCTACAAACAATTGTTCTATTGGCCAAAAAGGAGGCATTATGATCAAGATCATATGTGTACATAGATAAATAGATAGAGATAGGTGACAAAAAGGTAGATTTCAGCAAAATCTCAGTTGGATCATTGAACTTCAATGTTTAGTTTTAAATTTTACCACATTGTCATCTACCGTTTATTAAGATGATGAAAACTGCTTAACTGGCAGTCATACTGCAATGAATCTTTCACGTAATAGTTGAATGTCATGCCGACTTACCATAACTTCACATCATAAAAGCATTAAAAAAATATATGCCTTAAAAACCTTATAAATCAAAGACGTTGTCATAACCCTTATTTTACTATTTTTGTTTATATGATGTCATATACTTAAATGATTACATTGAGGCTTGGAGAATTTGCTATAGTTATTTGCTTGGAGATTTTAAAGCATCTCAATCGAAGAGACAAAGCAAATACACTTTAAGGATAGCATTCTACGTGAACGCTATCAAAGCCGTTTGTTTCTTCTTCTTCTTCTTCTTCTTCTTCTTGCTAGCTCAGATAGGTGGATCATTCTTCATTATCTACCAATTGAGATTTCGTTAAAAGCTCAGTAATCACATATTAAATTTACTTGTAAGAAAAGTGGGAGTGACAAGAATGTAGATAGACTTCAACTTTTAGGAGTTCTATGTTTTCAACCACCACCTTTATGATCCCATGAAATAGTGAAAAAATATCTAAATTTGTAATTTATCTTCTTAACTAAGATATCTTGTCTTTTTTATTATTATTATTTTTATTATTAATTTTTTTTTTTTGGACTCTTTTGAGGACATAAACTATTTGGATGGATTAAAGAAACTAATCGCCATTTGATTAATTATCTTGAAGCAATGATTACACGTTTTCGAGAAAACTTATTCATTTTATTTAATACCTCATTTTCTATATATTCTTTTTTGAAAAATACATCATTTTAATTAAAATCAATATTTTACAATTTCCATCTTATAATTTTTTAAAAAATACTTATTTTTCATTTATAATCATTATTTCAATTTTTCATTATAAAACAACAATTTTTGATGAACCGCGTCAGTTACAAATTTAAAAATAAAAAATAAAAATGCCTACATCTACATGTTTGGTGCACCTTATACAAAATAAAAAATTTGTGGATATTATCTAAATATCTGTGTCCATCGGGTACGTAACTTGTTAGAAGAAGATTTCTATAATTTTAGTCAATTTAAATAAAGACACAATGTAACAAGTTGTTCAAGTGGTAGGTTTTAATTATTTATATGTTTATCAATTATTGTGTATAATCGTTAGTTTAAAAATATTCAAGGTCATAGAGCTTATACTCTAATTCTATGTAAGATTCTATAGAAATTTATAAATGAACCGAGATATTTACTTTTCATGATAGGATGGATCTCATCAACGTCTCGACTAAGAGTTTCATATTGAAAAAATAAACTGAATATGACTTAAGACGAAGCAACCGAGTGCCCAAAAAAATAAAAATGCTTGTGTCGATATACTAGCAAAATGATGTTTTTAATTGTCTCGATTAGTCTCTCTAGATCAATTTATTCTACCTAATTAAAATAATTTTTTTCATCAATTTGCTATAGTTAAATAATTAAGTGCCTTTCCGGTCTAAATCAGTGTAACTAGACCCAATTTTATAATTCCTATACTTAAAGTGACAAGAAATAATTGTTTAGCAATTAATTATATTATTAATTAATAGATTCTTTGAATATTATCTAGTTCGTACATAGTCAAATTTGACAAATTTTTAGTCTCTTCAAGTTTCGTGTAGGCGAATATGAATGTCCCTTTTCAATTGTGTATCCAAGAAAACTTATTTTTCGAGAGTTGGTTTAATAAGAATTGGTCATATGTGACGATAAGTAAGAGTACCTTGTTACATTCGAAAAATGCACAGTATCATGTATATATTTAATTTCGCACGTACAAAATTTGAGGTAGTTCGCTAAATGATATTATCTTATATAGAACTAAACATTTTAAAGTAATTTTTCTAAATCATCCCCCACCCCCCACCCCCCCCACCCCGGGGGAAGAAGATAAGTAAAAGTCTATAATGGTGTTCTTTAATTAGTTTGGATTTAAATAATTTTCTTCATGAAAGTTTAGTGCCACATAGTATTTAGTCAAAGCCTAATGAGTCATGACTAGCAAATCTTTGCTTGTTTTGACAAGCAAACGGTCAACAAATTTTTAAAAACAATTCTTCTTGAAAACGCTCTAGATCGAAATAGGTGTACCAAACAAACCATTGGTGTAAAAGTATTCAAACATGTCATTGCCTTATTCACAGTTATAAAATACATTTTATTTATGATATTTATATTGAATTAGAGTATTGAAGAAGAAAAATAGGTACACTTTATTATTTGCAAATATTGAGAGCATAGACCATCAACGTCGAATAAAATCGTTAGATTCTTAAAATTTTCCAAACAATATAAGTTTTTGTGTGTGTGTGTGTGGAGACAATTCATGTCCAAACGAGGCAACACTTCATTGAAATATGGAATGGAAAGTTTAATGATTTATTACTTTCTTGGCACAATAATGTTGTGAGAGAGATTGTTCATACCCTTCCAACTACTAACATAATTATGTTAAGGGATAGAATCCCATATCGAATAAAGATCTAAACATAGACTAACTTATAAAGGATTGTGCTACTCCTTTTAATAAAGTTGACATTTTAAGATGGAATTCCAAATCTTAACATGGAATCAGAGCCCATTAAACTCTAACGAGCAATTCGATCCGATTAAGACTCCAAAAGTGAGCATACGGATTTCAAGATTGGTCTGCTCAAACGAGCCACCATCTTGCGGGGCATGTTAATGGATAGAATCTCACGTCGAATGAAGATCTAAACGTAGATCAACTTATAAAGGATTGAACTACTCCTTTTAATAAGGTCGACATTTTAAGATGGAATCCCAAATTTTAATAGACTAAACCTAGTACGTGGAACAATTTTGGTGAACAAATCTCAAATGTTTTCCCTTAGATGGAAGGAACTCCACCACTTGTAAATCATAATATGAATTGGTGGGCCTAACATATTTTACGTTCTTTATTAATTCTTTTTATTCGTCGCACCACATATTATCATTTCTTTCTTAAGACGACTAATATGTTGACATTAGAATTCGTCGACGGTCAAAATTTGCAAGCATCTTTATATATTGTTGATATTTGAACTAACATGCTTGAGAATACATGTTTAAGCGAGCAGATCATTAGGATCTCAAATCAATCACCGAATTTGAATGTAATATGCCTGCTAACATGCTCAAGATTACACACCTAATGGAACACTGAGTTGCCCAACAAAGACAATTCAACAAACTAGACTATGCGACGAGGAAGAGTAAAATAGTTTGATGAAAAAAGGGAGAGTGGTCCATTTTCGACTAACAAAATCTTTAATATTATTCGTATTTTCAGAAGGAATCGCTATTAGACTTTCGAGCGATCGCACCATAATTAATGGAGAAATGTTTTTTTATTAATGGAAGAATTGGACTTATCTATGCACCCTTTAGCTTAGCAGGAGTGCTTCTTTGTTGTGCCATAGCGTAACGAAAAGGAACCTTTCATCATCCACCTTTCTTCAAGAAGGCATATAAGGTAAGAAATAATTTTCATAAAATATATCGGTAAAGACCTTAATCTATTTTTATTTTCTTAAAATTAGCATTGCCATTAACACTAAACCTTAAATTATACAATTATTTGGGAATCGCTTGTTTTATTGCTTACATCAACCATTTAGCTTGTTATGAAACAAATAATACACCAAGACAAGGACAAAAATAATAATAAAATTAAAAATCTATAATTTTTTTCGACCAATCCAAATGAAGCTACACGTAAAAATATTCTCTTTAATCTACCACACCCAATCTAATAAAAAAGGCATATAATAAAAATGAAATCCATTAACATTGCCTACTTTGGTAAGACTAAAATATTCTTTTTTCTTTTTCCGTCAACAAATAATTTTCTAGGTGACTCGGTTCCTCGTCACATGGGCCATCTTTGTGGGCCACTTCAAAATAATAAAGCCCAAAAGATTTTTCAACCGTGCCCATGCACCAATATCACCTGATTTCCGACGTGATCATGTTGCGAAAGTAATTGATGGACATGAAGGAGGAAATTCAGAAAAACTGACACAACCGCCACACTGCTGCCGCGAGGGCTACGGCGCCGGGGAAGGCAATGGCATGTGAACTAAACAAGTGGGTATAAATTGATGGTGCGCCGCTCACCTGTGACGCTCCTTCGTACACCATTGTGTTGTTGATCAATGATGAAGTGTTGTCTTCCGATCCTCCGTTTTGTATCCCAGATGATGATTTCTTGCTGAAACCACGTAAACAAGTGTAATTTGTTAAATATTTTAAATCTAATAAGACAAGTAAAAATACTATTTTTCAAAAAAGCTATTGTTTCATTACGTTCAAATTCACCGGCTTTTGTGAAAGAATAATGTTATGGTGTTAGAGCAGCAGTTTATGTAACATTACGTGATAAGTTCAATTAAAAGTAAAATGATGTGATTCACTAAATTGAACATATAATTTAATGACATTAATGATACCACCTAGACTGGTGTTAAATAACGTTACTCTTTGTGAAATTTCGATGAAAGGACAAGATTGCCCATACAAGGCGAGACAAGAACGTAATCGCCCAATTGAATTAATCGTTTTGACCAACTATGAGCTTGTTTGGGAGAGATTTTTGGGGGAAGAATTGATTTTGAATAGTGATATGATGGGAAATGTGTAATTGAAAAAGAAGAAAAAAATGAATAATGATATGATAGGAAATGTGTGGTTGAAAAAGAAGAAAATATTATTGATGTGATAGAAAATATTATTTTATTGAAGAATGTGTGGTTGAAAATGAGAATTGATTTACTGTAAAAAAAATTTAATCTATCCTAAACAGGGCATATATATATATATATATATAAAATGTGTGTGTGATGAAAGGATGCAAAAAGGCTTGAATGGGTATTATAGTAAATTCACCTAGTATTTGGCGACGGGCAAAATGTTATGAAATAATCCGCGCCAGCGCATGTGAAGGTACTGGTTTTATCGTCGTAGGCGTAACTGTAAGCGTGTGGACACGCGCTCTTAAACACCTGAGAATATGATGACGGTTTACAGGCATCGGGGGTACTGTACGCGCCGTTACAGCAGTACTCCTCCTTCCCGAACGCCAAGCATGCGCTCTTACACGCAACGTCTTCCCCGTCGGTAATTTTCACCCGGAGATCGGACGGGCACAAACCATTCAGATCCGTCATGCATCCCGTCGACGTACAGTTAACGCCCGACCCTCCCTGGGGCAGCACCAGCATCGGCAGGTTGTACCCGTCGACGAGGCTAACGTCATAGAAGTCCATGCCGGAGTCACCGTCGAGTGTGAACTCCGCCAATGTAGCTGGCGGAACAGCACCATTCCCGGCGCATTCTATCTTCCCCGAGCCGCAATCGCCGGTCACGCAGGAGAATTTCCCGGTTGAATCCTCGCTACAGTGTGTCCTGCCCCAGAAGCGGCCGCCCCACGACGACGGCGCGTTGATGATCCTCGATTCACCCTTCTGGAGAGCAAAACCCGTTGTTGAAAGCGGTGCAATTCCGGCGTTCGATAATATGCCTGGCCAAACTGTGTACGCACATTTGTTTACCATTGTAAATGTAGCTGATGAGTATACTCCAGATATAACAAAGTTTGTTAGCGTAAGAAACAAAACATGTACGTAAATCTTTGCCATTGAATTTATATGTATGTATATGAAAAATAGGAAGTAGGAGGAGGAGGAGGCGATGGTGGTGGCGGAAGAACAAGAAATGAGAGGAAGTATGAGGTTCAATGGCAGCCTTATGTATGTCTATGTGCGTGTGTATATATAAATTTCAGGGGTTGTGTTATGGGAATGTTTGGGTTTCTGTGATCGGACTGGTGGACAAAACCGACGTCGTTTTCTTGATATTACTTGTGTTCTTGAGTTAGTAAGATAGGTTAGGGTGGGTAAGAAATGTGGGGGTGTTTGAATGAATGCAAGAACGATGATTTATTCAAATGGTTGTTCAATTCCTTTCAATCGTAGCTCATCAGCTCCAATAAAATAATGCTTTGCATACGAGGTGAAAGTTATAAAAGTATGTTTATAGCGACCAGTGAAAAAATTGTAGTAGAACATGGGGGACAGAGTCAATAATATTAGGTGACGGTGCGCACGTCTTGAAATTGCATATCAATGACAATATAGAATAAAGTAGGGGTGGGCAAAAAAATCGAAAAACCGACCGAACCAAACCAACTCGGGTCGGTTTGACATAGTTATTGGTTTGGTTTGGTTTTATTTTAAACAAAACTACGATGGTTCGGTTTGGTCATGGTTTAAAGCTTTAAACCACTTGTTAACCGACCCAACTCACTTATACATGTTTCTATTTTTTTTTTTTTTTTTGAAAAAAGAAAAGTCAAAATCAAAACTTTTGGAATTTGGATTTTACTTTCCTGAATATTTATTTTCCTAAAATCTAGACATTGTGCTTGAGTTTCTTTCTTGTAACATAAATTTTATTTTCTTACTCTTGAATTTGGATCATACTTAGTTCTGGTTATTTTCTTAGTCTTGGTTTTGGATTATGCTTAGTTCTGGTTATTTTCAATTCTGATCATATCCTGCCTTCTATTGAGATGGAAGAAAGAAATAATTGTGATATGTTTAGCAGTTCATATTTAATTAAGTGCAGTAAACGTAATTTGGCATCTCTTTTATTTTTATGGATATCCACCACATATCCAGGTTGATGAAGATGAACTATTGGGATGGAAAAAAAAAGCTTGATGAAGATTTGGTTTTGTTATGATTATGTGTTGGTTCTTGGTTGCGTCAGTGTGAGTAGTTAAATTGAATGACATATATTATTTTTTGCATGACTTTTCATTTTTTATGATGCAATATTATTTAAAAGTCTAAATTGACTAACCGAACCAAATCAAACCGAATCGATTTGGCTTGGGTTGGTTCGGTTTAAGAGTTAGAGTGGATTGGTTTGGGTCGAAATTTTTCCAAACCGACTAATTTGGTTTTGGTTTCGGGTTGGGGTCGAAACCAACCCAAACCGAACCGCGCCCACCCTTAGAATAAAGGATAAAGGATAAAAATCCATTTTTCAAAACTAAAATAAAATTGCAAGAACATAATCTAAAATAATAATTCCTAAAATACTATTTAGCACGATTCCGAATTGTAAGAAACAATCAAGTCATAAACGTACCCGTTCTTGATTCTTCAGTCTTCACTTTGGAGTCGCCGGAGGAAAGTTTCGTCTGCCCTTCACCGTCGAGGTGATTTGGGATTTTCAATTTGTTCTTCCACTTGGCATTGCCATTCTCTACACTTCAGAATTTAGAAATTTCAGTTGATTTCGTATGGGTTGGTTTGTGGAATTATTGGGTTAAATTTGGGTAAAGTTTCTGTTTGGATCATTAACCATTTAGGTGGCCCATTTGAAGTGATTTCATCATTGGGCTGCCCAGCCCAATATATGCATAAGGGAACCATGCTTGCATTACAGATTTTTTTTTTATATAGGGTTTACAAACAACACACATGGTGAGGTCAGCGCAATTTTTTTTTTTAATACATGTGGGGGCCCTTCCCTTGTAAGGGGGTCTGTAAGACCCCTATGAATAAATTCCCTGTGGAACATATATTCATTGAGCTATGGCCCCGGGAGAACATATATATACAAGGACGAGAGGAATCCCCTTTGGGTTCATTCTTCACATATCTCAACTTCTTAGATTCATATCCTCTTTTTCCTCTATCCAGTGATTAGATGTTCATCATACTTATTCCTCTTGTTTTCTAATACAAAGTTAAGCACGACCATTGATCGAACTTGGATTAGACAATCAATGCAATGTCTTGTTTTTAGGAAACGATCCCAAGCCAAATGGCATCACAATGTAGCTGTGTCGAAAGGAAATGAAAACTTCATTCTTGATTCTACGAGAACTTTTATGAGAACTTTTCATTTGCATATTGTGTTGAGTGAAAATTGGAGAGAGAGCCCACTTATACAAGTGTGAGAGTAACTTTGCATCACAATCGAAATAAGTGGAAGAACAAACCGACCATCGAGGTTGAAGCAATTGATTAGGGATCTAAACATGGTTTGATGGAAATACAAGTTAAATGACTGTTAATTATATGTTTCTTGATTAAAAGATCTTTTGAAAATCAATTTTACGTTTCTTGATTCCATGCATTTAGCTCTTGTTTGCCTCTTGTTTATAATTAATCAAATCACTTTTTTTATCTTTATATTTCCATTTCATGAGACTCATAAATAATACTCCCTCCCTTCCACAAATATAGTCATATCTACTCCCCCCCTTCATAAAGATAGTCGTATTTCTTTTTTCATACAGGTTAAGAAAATTTAGTTAATATAGTTGAAATAATAAATTTTACTATCATTTTTCCTAATATAGCCCTACATTAATGTAATCAATATTCAAGTAAATTAAACCCGCCAAAACGTGAAATTTGCATTCACCCACCAAGGAAATTTCCAATTTCATCCAATATCCAATATTCAAGGAAATTTGTATTCACCCACCAATTACGCCAAGGAAAGTTGTATTCGCCCGCCAATTTGTTTTCAATTTTTTCATTGAACTTTATAAATAACCACAAGTAAAAAAAATGAAAAGTTCATCACAAACTACTTCAATTGATTTGAATGTTTTGCTGGACAATACCATGAAAATGCCACAAGATACGTGTCATCCAAAAAAACAAAAAAACTCGCGATGAAAAGAGAGCTATCTTCGAAAAGCTACTCCAAGAAAGCAAAGATGGGAAGTTATCAAAAGGAGTCATTTCGAAAGTTGCCAACTCTTTTTCTATATCTACAAAATCAGTTTCTCGAATTTAGCATAATGCAAAATATTTTCTTATTGCAAATGGTGTTCTACCAAATTTTTCCTCAAATCCTGTGAAAAGGGTTGGTTGCATGAGAGTTCAATTAGACTTGGAAGGAATGAAAGATATCCTTATTCGTCGTCGAACAAATATAAGATCCTTGTCAAATGCATTGAATGTACCAAAATCAACCTTACATAGAACAATCAAAGAAAAAATATATTCGACCACACTCAAATCCTATGAAATCATATTGACAAATGATAACAAGAAAGCAAGGTTGGAGTTTTGCTTATCAATTATTGACGAAGGTACCTGCATCTAAGCCTTTCTTTGCTAATATTCACAATAAAATTCATATTGATGAAAAATTGTTTTATATGATTAAGACGTCACAAAAATATTATCTTTCAAAGAAGAAATAAGACTATAATTTGGGATAGACGAAAAAGAAAAATATGACTATCTTTATGGAATCGAGAGAGTACATACTTATCCACTTATTTTTATTTATTCATAATTTGAATTGATTATAAACAATTCTCAAACATATTTATAGAACGTGTTTGGACATGTTTTTAAATACTAGTAAGTTGTGAATCTTACAACATGTGTTAATAATAAATGAGTAGCTAATTGTGAATATTCCTACAAAATATGTGTATAATAAAAAATATATTTGATCATCTTACACAAAAGTTAAGCTTTGCCAAACGTGCACATGATATTGGGCTTTAACCTTGTTATTTGTATAGGAATATCATGGGTGGGCCTACCTTATCCATTTGTCTTTCCAATTGGGTCCTTTTGACTCATGAGCTGTCAAACTTTAACCCTACACAAATTTTTGGCAATTAAAAGGGCTTATCTTATCCAATGGGGCCCATTTGCCCCTTGAGATTTCAACACAAATTTGGGAACTTTTCTTTGTACTATGATTTCCTATGTGCTAATTAATAATTATAGCTCTATTGGCCAATTTCAAAGAGATATTTTCAAGATTCAATCCGATTGTCTTTGAAATTTGATAGCAATAAAGTTTTTTTCATCCTAAGGACAAGATTTGATTTACATAATGATAATGGCGTGACACGATTCATATACATATAGTTACAGGGTGATTAACATAATGATAATGATATTACACGATTCATATATTAGCATCCTCATCTTTGTTTGTCACATTACAATTTTCATATTTATTAAAATGGTGAAAAGTAAATGACATAAATAACCACTATTATTAATGAAATCATTTTTCCTTCCCCTTCATTGTAACTTACCCTAATTTTCAACAAATCTTTACACACGGAAAGTACTATAAGTACATTAGGGGTGTCATAATGGTGTCCATAATGGACACGTGGCGCCCCACCGTTGGAGTAAATGACATAAATAACCACTATTATTAATGAAATCATTTTTCCTTCCCCTTCATTGTAACTTACCCTAATTTTCAACAAATCTTTACACACGGAAAGTACTATAAGTACATTAGGGGTGTCATAATGGTGTCCATAATGGACACGTGGCGCCCCACCGTTGGAGTAAATGACATAAATAACCACTATTATTAATGAAATCATTTTTCCTTCCCCTTCATTGTAACTTACCCTAATTTTCAACAAATCTTTACACACGGAAAGTACTATAAGTACATTAGGGGTGTCATAATGGTGTCCATAATGGACACGTGGCGCCCCACCGTTGGAGTAAATGACATAAATAACCACTATTATTAATGAAATCATTTTTCCTTCCCCTTCATTGTAACTTACCCTAATTTTCAACAAATCTTTACACACGGAAAGTACTATAAGTACATTAGGGGTGTCATAATGGTGTCCATAATGGACACGTGGCGCCCCACCGTTGGAGTAAATGACATAAATAACCACTATTATTAATGAAATCATTTTTCCTTCCCCTTCATTGTAACTTACCCTAATTTTCAACAAATCTTTACACACGGAAAGTACTATAAGTACATTAGGGGTGTCATAATGGTGTCCATAATGGACACGTGGCGCCCCACCGTTGGAGTAAATGACATAAATAACCACTATTATTAATGAAATCATTTTTCCTTCCCCTTCATTGTAACTTACCCTAATTTTCAACAAATCTTTACACACGGAAAGTACTATAAGTACATTAGGGGTGTCATAATGGTGTCCATAATGGACACGTGGCGCCCCACCGTTGGAGCTCCAAAGGTGGGGCGCCACGTGTCCATTATGGACACCCCCTAATGTACAAGAAAAATTATCCATTTCATAAAACCCCGTAATTATTGAAACATAAGTGATCAAACGAAAATAAATTTCAATTAGAATGTGAGTAGAAAATGATGATAGATCTTAGGAGTGGAATTGTCGGTGGGGGCGAAAAAATTGGTGGAGTTATCCGAAAAATATGATTTCTTTGATGCATTGTCAAATGATATTGTGAAGGAAGAAAGATGGGCGATGGGGAGAGGGGGGAAATCGCAATCGCAATGCTCTTTAACTTAAGCTTAGCCAAACGTGTATTTACTCGTACGTTTGAGCTAAAAAAGTGTCATTTCACAAATTGAGCTACCAGCACTGGTCAGTTTCCCAATTCCGGTTCCGGCCAGCGTTCCCAGCATACACACTCTCCGAGACAGTTGGCCGCCGCCTTCGCCGGGAAAGTGCTTGGTCATAATTCGCACGCTTCTCAGGATCAGATAGAGTGGCATAAGCGGCATGCAATCTCATAAACTGATCGGCTGCTGACATCTCATCTTCTCCGACGTTCGATGCAACGTCGGGATGCATGATTCTGGCCAATCTTCTGTACGCCGTCTTGATTTCGTGACCTGAAGCACTAATCTGTAATCCCAGGAGTTCATACAACGACGCTGTTTGTGAAACATTGCTGCTACTAGAAGCCGTCCCGGTGGTGGCGGATACGTGAAGTGAGCGGCGGAAACCGATATGGCGCGGAGGAGACGGTGGCGAGAATTTGGTACCAATTATTTGATTCGTGAGAGAGAATGAAGAAGAAGCCATGGTAGAATAGAACAAGTGTGTGCTTTTTCTATGGATTAAAGAAAAAATATTTGAGAGTGAAATTTATAGGGTTATGAGAGTGGTCGGTGGTGATTGTGTTTGGATCCGATTGGGGTAAAATGGATAATCCTTGAATATGGATAAACACGAGATTGCTGACTCATCAATTTATTTATTTTTTTGTTGTCAATTTTGAGTTATAGTTAACAAAATGCATTGAGTTGCTCGTAAAAATTTCGACTGCTCGAATATGTAAAAGGCACGATTTCGCCATACATTTGAGGCATGAGCTATTCATTTGAAGGGGGATAAAAAAGGAGCGAAATGTTAATTGCAGGATCCCTAACGCAAAAGTTTCAAAGGAAAATATATATATATTTTAACTTTTTCGGGTGAAGAATCAAAATTTGTTAGGACAGGTGATGGTCATGTCGATGGTTTGACACCAAAGATCAGTGTTCTAAAAAACGTAAAGCGTGATTAGTCGTGGAGGCGAAATTTCAAGTTTCGAGTTTTATGAGCGTAAGCGATGCCTAAGAATAAAAATGTGTTTTCTTATTTTTAATATTATGTTAAATTTTTGATCATTTTAAAAATCATTTAATAATTAAAATAATACATATCAAATATCTAAAATTTTAAAATACTATATTTACTTAATAATTCCTATAACTAGTTAATTATACAATTTTCAAATTCTCGAAATGCAAATACTAGATTATTTTTTCATAGTTTCAATTTTTAACTAGACAAATCCTACTTAATAGATTTATAGGAACTTTATATATGCTTTCGAAGTTTTCAACAAAATAATGAATCTTAAGATCACAATTACATATGTAGACAGCACTGTAACTTAATCTTATTTAATTTTTTATCGAATAAAGTCGTTTTTAACTTTTGTACAGATAAAGTCTTTTAAAAACTTGAAATTAAAGTCAAATAAAAAGATTTCCAAAAATTAAAAAAATTAATAAACTAAAGCCAAATAAAAGGCTTTCATAAAAAAGAAAAAAAAATAAAGAATTTAATAAAGCATGTACAAAGAGATGAAAGAGATGAAGGAAAAAATTCAGTCGTTGAAGAATTGAAAAAAAATAAGGGCGCATAGTAGTAAATTTATATCTTAAATTATATATTTTTTAGTTCGTTTGAAACTCATCAAATCTTCCCAACAAATTGGTATCAAATATTACTTTTACATCACTTATAAAGTATTTCATAATAACATACAATGCACGTTTAACTCTGATTAGTAGTATAGACAAGGGGGTTGCACTTTGGGAATGTAAAGGACAGGGATACAATGAATTTCAGGAGTAATCTAGACAGCCTATGATTGTGTTCGTTGTACAAAAGCTTTTTGAAGCCCATTTTTGTTGCTTCAAAATTAAGGGGGTTTCTGAAAATGGCCAACAAAGCATGTGCTTTGTTTTTCTCAATCATTCCTTTGATCCATCCAAATTACTTGCCATTGTGGCATGTCTCGTAAGTAGACTGAATATACTATTTTTTTCACCTTCCATAGAGTGCTTAGCACACATCTCTCTCTTTTTTTTTGCTCTCCTAACATAACTTTTGTAGTTCAATTTAAAGCTCATATATATATATATATATAATCGAAATGAAATAGAAGAATGAACCCTTCATCTACTATCTTCCCTTGGAGCCAAAAAAGTAGAATCTAACCCGTCTAATATATCCAAAACGTTACCCTTCAGGTGTTCCAGTCTTCTATGGGGAGAGCTCCCGGTGCTCCTACTCAATGCCCAAACCTTATTCGTCCTCTTATTCACCGTCATGAATTCCTGGCTTTTGCTTAGTCCGGGGGCCAAGTTCTTCCTTTTCACAACCTCCTCCAACAAATTTTTATCATCGGTAGAGAGCTGGACTTTATGAGTTGACAATGCATTTGATCCTTTGAGAGCTGGAAATTGTACTGGTTGGGCCCTGAGTCCATTATCTCTATATGTTACGAGGCTAACGAGACGATGAAGCCATGCCACTAGCTCGAGGATGTAGGAGTCAGCCTTCTGCTTGTCCGCATGATAGAGTGTCTGCAAGTGAATCAGGTTATTTGGCAGGCCTGTTTTCTTTCCAAATTCGTTTCTGCAATTAAGAACACTAAAAAAAGTTAATTATCTCAGTTTGATATTCCGTGCAAATGACATAATGAGAGCTCGACTAACCCAGCATTCGCCCACTCTCCGACCCATCCAAATCCTTGACGTGCTCTGTTTCCAGTGGGCCCACGGGAAAGATGGTGGCATGAGTACATTATGAAGTTGAGACAAAAATGATATGATAAACAAAGATACACTTAAAATTACAAAAATGATCTGATAAGCAAAGATATGCCTAATACATGACATACTTGGTAGTATCCGTTGCTAATGGAACTAGCCACTGGAGAGTTTTCTCCATCTCGGCTTTGATTTGAGGAACTGTGAGCTGCAAAAGGCACAATCTAAAGAAGCTAAAATATGAAGGAAAACAGAGAATCTGAAATTATCAATCCCAAGGGGTGAAAAAAGAAGCAAGAGGTAACTTTTTGTTTCCAAACGTGTTAAACAAGCTACTTTTTTCTTTCTTTCAGTAGGTAACAAGGAGTTAAGTGCTTGTTTGGGAGACATTTTGTCCAAGTGAAAAATGATTTTTTTTTTTTTTTTTTTGAGAACGTACGGTTAAAAAGTAGGCAAAATTATGGGCCCCGTAGAATGTGTGGTTGAAAATGATTTTTGAAAAATCACTCTCAAACAAGCCATTATATTGAAAGTAATTCTTACCTTACTATCAAATAATTAGCTTGTTTTATTTTGATCAATGAAATATTTGCTTATTTTGAAACTTACTCATTTACTTGCATGTAAACTTTTAAACTTAGCTGAACAGTTGTAAAGATTGCATGGATGACCATAAGAAACCTCTCAGAAATATAAAACTTCAGAGCCCTCCTCCCTCAACATCCTCCACTCAAAACAAAAACGTCTACTAGATTGACTACGACAAGACATTTAGTCCAATTGCGAACATATATGGCCCGATAAAAAGTAGAGAGACAATGTGAAGGAACTACCTTGAAGAACATATCTCGAATTCCGGAAGGGGAAAGAAAAAGCATACCTCTTCCTCGGTATCAATGGTTTGTAATCGGGAGCGGAGAGCATTCTTAACGGTTGGTGGTAACCCATTGTACAACGCATCTCTCATATTAGAAGGAAGCGAGGTTGGGTGTGATGCCTAAATTAAAATTGAATTTATAAAGATTACCTCGGTGAAAATACACATCATACTACCAAAGAAATGAAGTACTAGACTTACAATGTTATCGATTTGAGAAATTATGTTAGCATAATGTAAAGAAAGACCAGCAACACCTAGACTTTCTGGTTTGTTAGCAGAGGCCTCGCCGAAAGATGACAACCCTGGCCATACAGTGTATAAAACTGAAGGTAAGAAGAGAATATAAATCTAAAACATACTCATCCCCAGCCTATTGGCTATTGCCCCAGTAGCAACTTGACCCCAACCTTTTAAAAGGAGCAAGTTGCTCAACCTTTCATTCTAGTTGCATAATCAGTCCACGACAACGAAAAACGCTTAAAATTCTACGACATTATTATATGACCCTCACATGTCCAACTTTATGAAGCTAGGTTTTGTTTTCCAACTTGGGCTAGTGACAGAAATTTGAAGGGGCCATATTTTCACAGAGGCCACATGATCTAGATGGTTTCCATCATTAGGGATTGATTGTGCAACTATGATGATAGATCAAGAACTAAATTGATCTATTTTAAAGGTTAGGGAACAACTTGCTAAAGCAATAGGTTGGAGACAAACAGTTCAATTTTTCCAAGATATTATAATAAAGGATGGATGAGAACAGTATGTTCTTCTAAACAACTGAGAACCATGGATGGTTCTAATCCAATAGCACAAAAGGTCTTAAAATCAAACTGCATGCTCGTATAAAAATAGAGGGGCAACTGGAGTAAATATGTGGCCAAGGGAACCTCATATTCTTGTGGGATGCGAGGACATAGCATTAAAAATATTATGCATCTTCAGCCAAAGAAATTTGAAGTTTCCCCATTTATACAAGAAGGATTCAATCCCTGGTACTGAAACTACCCATCCCACAGAGGAGAGGATAAGGGAAGACTTCTCAACAGTAACCTTAATTATAAGATGTTGTATGGGATTTTAACAAAACTATGTCCTTTGCCAGAGGAAAATTCACACGCAAGAAATTTTGTATTAGCTTTTAACAGGTTGAAGAACGAGGTAACAGAACATCATGGAACTATAGGAAAAGAAAGTCTTGGAAGTCCTAACAGCAGCAGTGATGTACTTAGACTACAACTATTAGAGTTTTGGAGCTCATGAAGACCAGTAGTACATTAAATTTGTTGAGAATAAAATAAAAGATATGCATTGCTGGATAAGTTCAGATGAAAAAAGAACAAGACTTAGGGCCTGTTCGGCAAGGCTTTCAAAAGTCAAAAGCTGCTTCTGAAACTAAAAAGTTCGTTTTTTAATTTGTTTGGATAATTATCTGAAAGTGCTTTGCCCAGCCAAAAAGCTTTTAGAAGAAGCGGCCTAAGGTAACTTTCTCGTAAAGCTCTTCTACAAAAAGTAGAAGCCAGCCAAACAAACCCATAATCATGTATAGTTTCCATAAACTGATATATAGCCCCCGTTTGATCTACATTATTATCTCATTAAAATGAAAATTATGACCGTTATCCATCACATCAACATTTAAATTCAAATTTTCTATCTCTTATGTGGACCCCAATAACGACTATATTTTTCATTCTCATTCAACAATAATTTGGCTCAAACAAAAAAATTCAATTTTAATCTCAACCGAACAAACCCATAATCATGTATAGTTTCCATAAACTGATATATAGCCCCCGTTTGATCTACATTATTATCTCATTAAAATGAAAAATATGACCGTTATCCATCACATCAACATTTAAATTCAAATTTTATATCTCTTGTGTGACCCCAATAACGGCTATATTTTTCATTCTCATTCTATAATAATTTGGCTCAAACAAAGCCATAATGTTATTGTCACTATGTCATGCATCCACAACTAAGGCATAAACATAAGCTACAAACCAAGAAGTACACGTACGGATACATAATTTGAATACGATACAATATAATACAGATACGTCGATATGGCTTTTTAAAAAAAATTATGATACGTGGGTACATGTTATAAAAATTAACATAATTTCATTAATATATATATAAAAAATTAAAACAGAAACATAGTAATAAAATAAAATAAAATACTAAAACATTTTATTTTAATCCTTAATTATCCTAACTTCATTTTCTTCAAAATATCATCAATATCAACTTCTTCACTATCATTAAAAATAACAGTGTCCAACTCTAACTCATCTAATGATATATTAGCAAATCAATCAATCCAACAATTTCAAAAGTACCAAATGAGTCTCCGATAACGTCCTACATTTTGGATTCTCCTTTTGAATAGAGATCTAATTTTTTTCTTGATAAAAGACACAGATTACTATGAATGAAAATCAATTCTTCAATTCCTCGTGGAGTTATTCCTTCTCATGGAGTACACAAAAGAGTACGTACTCCAGTTATTTAATACTAGTTACTACCTATTTCCAATAATTGTCAATTATTAATACAGTTTCACATGCATTAAAAGATTAAGTGCTTGTTTGGGAGGAATTTTTGGAGGAAGAATTGATTTTGAATAGTGATATGATGGGAAATGTTTTGTTGAAAAAGAAAAAAAATATTGATGTGATGGAAAATATCATTTTATTGAAGAATATGCGGTTGAAAATGAGAATTGATTTACTGTAGAAAAATCTAATCCCTCCTAAACACTAAACAGGCCTAAGTAACTTGACTTCTTTTTAAGCCGAATGGGCTATATAACTGTTGGAGCTGGACCCAGCCAGCTATTTTCCCCCTCAATTGGTGATAGACTAAAGAAATNAATGGGTGCCAAACAGGTGCTAAATTAAATAAAATAACATTTTCAATATATAGTCAATAACAATGAGTTTTAAAAGATTTTAAAATCAATAACTCTTCTTTACGTGTCCTAACATATTGGATACGTATCGAAAATAATTAGAAAACATGTATCCGATATGTATCGAATATGTATCGGAACTCGGAAGGGTATCAGAGAATATTCAAACTTGGATACATATTGAATACGGGAACATAATGAGTTTACAAGTATCGATACTTCTTAGGCTATTACTAAAGCATGCAAACTCCCTCTATCCTGTATAAAAGAGAGAAGAAACCGAAAGAGGAGAGTATATTGAGCATGCATTCGTACCATTTTCTCCAAATGATTCTAAAATATATTGATGAATGAAACCGACGACATCAACAAGCTTCTCGACAACCTACACATGTAAAATATCAAATCAAATCAATTCGAGACGTTTGATATCCTAGTATAAAATAACGATATGCGAGATGACATTTTCTCGCTTCAATATCGATCATTTTCAGAAGACTTAAATATTTTCCATAAAACTTAAAAGAAAGATAATAATTTGATCGTTTCATCCACATCAAAAAAAGGTTGCTATGTCAAACGTTGAGAATGTAAAGGTAGGATCGTGATGTAAAATATACTGTTTTGAGCAGAAGTATAAAAGCAAATATCGCATATGTTCTCTGACATTCAAACTAATATGAACAATTATGAAGAAAACAAGTGAAATAATCAAGTACCTCTTCCAAACTTTTAGACCAAAGCGATTTCTTTTTCAAGCTCCGCACAAGCTTTCTTTGATGTTTTAGCTCACTTTGTAACATTACAAGACTCTCCCCTACAATTACAAGAAAGAAAAATAAATAAGTGATCTGTCAATTAAGATTATATCCTTACAGTAGTGGAAGGTGAGTTTGGTCCTGATAGAGTTGCATCATGGTAGGTTCCTGACTATTGCTGCAGAATTGTGGTTGATTGCAGAAGAAACAAAGCTGCTGTAGGCAGATTATATTGGATAAAATTGCAAAGACTATTGAATGTAAATTGTATTACTCAAAAGAATAAAAACTACAAATGGACAGCTTTCGAGAGGCCGCCTCTCTCCCCAGTTTCTCTATCTCATTTTCTGAATGTCCCTAATTAAATCTAACCTCCCCTATTTAATAGATAAACGCCTGCCTATACCATTTATTCTCCTACATCCCCATAATACCCCTATGAAAATGACAATTGAACTATTAATCTGGGATTCTATCATATCACTCTTCAGTTACAACTATTCATTTTTCTTCTATAAATTTGTTGCATAGAACATTATGCTTATAACTGGGAAACGAAACCTAGAGCCGATTCTACTTGAACGTGAATATTCCAATGTCTCAGAGTTCACCATCAAAAGCATAACATATACCTTAACCTACCGCCACGGCTGCCACGATACAAAGCAAAGCAAATCAAATCAAATCAAAGAATTGTCAATTTAAAGAACACCTTATTCAAAGGAAAGCCAGTTTGTCTAACCTTTTCGAGGAAGGTGTAAAGAATCTACTTCCTCGACCTTCTGCTGATAATCTTGTTCAAATCTGTCCAAAGCATGCAGCTCGTGATACAACTCCTGCAACCAAAGCAGAAGTTAGCCTCTCGTCGTTAACATTAGAATAAATATTTCAACTTTTTTATATAGAAAAAATAATATAAATCTGTATTATTCATGACTGAAAATTATAGCAGATGGTTTGCCTGGCTTGTGACATTTTCTGTTGATTTTTCACTCATCAAAGTTCATGTCATTGACCATTCATGAGACAGCTTTTGGAGAAATTCTGACGCAGTACACACTAAACAGAAGCTATATAAGAAAGGAGAAATAGAGAAAGGGGAAGAAGTAAGAGTGGGGAAGGGGATGGGAAGTGAAAAGAGAGGAAGAGGGTAAGAGAAGGAGAGAGAGAGAGCCCATAAATTGGAGAGATTGTACATTATTCATTAATCACACTATCAAAGTTATTTCTAAACATACTAACCTCTATACATATCAGGTTTTTAACTAACCTAATTAAGTAGGAAACATGGTAAGAAAATCTTTCAAACTAAGTCCTAATTTCTCTGCCCAAATTAAGAGCCTGTTTGTTCCCAATTAAAATCCAATTAAAATTGAAAATATAGCCGTTATTAGGTCTCACTCGTCTAATAAAAGTCAACAATAACAGCTAGTTTTTCAATTTTAATCCGATTTTAATCTCTACCGAACACGCCCTAACGCCCTAAGTATTCAAATTTGGCAAGCCTTCAATATTATTATCATTATGGATCTCCATCAAATTCTCATGTTTGTTTGAGATGTGAGACGACCTGGCAAACTATCTTCATTGTCAACCTAATAACGCCCTAAATGCAAATCTTCATTTCACCCAACATAGTCCAGTTATATGCATTACATCTTTATCAAGTCCTTTTTTATTTGCAATGGCACCTAAATATCTAAAATGTCACTCTTTGGTACAACACGATCCTCTATAATGACTTCTTTTTCATCCTCGTAGATAATAGGACCAATAGAACATTCGTATTTTCCGCCTTAATTCTAGTTTTAAAAGCTCTGGTACAGGATCTAACTTACGGAAGTATGTTGAGCTAGAGAGGTCAACTCTTGAATTGTCATTTTGGCCTCTTCTCTTAGTTGTTTGTGAACATCAGGATCTGAATCCAACCTAACATGTCAGAGTAAATTTGGTGAATATCTTTCTTCAACTTCTAAAGACAAGAATAACTTGCAAAATAATGAAACGCATTCCAACACACTTTGAAAAGAGTCTATCGAGGTGGTGAAATTGTGCGTCTTTACAGAGATTCCCAAATCTGATAACCTCACGAGAGAAGACATCAAATTCCTCCCTACAGAATACAGAAACAAATTGAAAGGTTTAATAAAAGAAAACCAACTAAAATTTCTTTGACAGTAAGAACTGAAAAAAGACAGAAGAGGACAGGAAAGAGGGAAGAAAGGAGAAAGAGTTTTGTAAGCAAGATTGTCTACATCCTAGACGAACAACTCATTACCTCTTGTCAGCAGCTGCAATCCTAAGAAGCTTGTTCATATCTGTAGAAACCAACTTTTGTACCCCTTCTGAATGTAAAATTTCCTTGCGCAAATAATGGATATTTTCTTCAGAAAGAGATTGCACCAAGTTTGCACCTTTGGAAATAGTATTGGCAACTTCAAATGCCAATATAGATATTTTATTTCCCCTCGAAGCCACACCAGATGTAAATCCACCAGAGTTCAAATTAGTCATGCTGCTGCCTAGTGTATCTAGAACTTCCACTGCCTTCTCAAGGCCAACTATGCCAGCCTTACCAAGAAATGAACTCACTTGCGGTGCCTGTCGCAATAACAAGCAAATTTCCTTATCATAATAACAGTGGCATCTTCTAAACCAAGAAAAGTTAAAAATACTGGTTTTGAATAGCAATGTAGCTTCAAGACATATCCATCAGGCAAATAAAAATGACAAGAAAACTGTAATGTTTCCGTCAACAATCTCATTATTGCAATCAAAGCATTAAATACAAATAAGGATAGGAAGGGCTGAATTCCCCCACCAATATGGATTTTTTTTTACAAAGTATCACTGTAATAATTAGTTACTGGAACAAGCTCCTCCAAGGATTGTCAAACATGCTATATTTTTAATTTTTTTTGGGTAAATTCCACGGAGTTCCCCCCCAACCCTTTCGCCATTTGTCAACAAATCCCACTTCTACTCATTTCCTCCATTTCTTTGAGTTCTATCCATTTGATCAATTATCTAAATCGCTACTCTCAAAGCAACTAAATATTTCTCCATTTATAGTCATGTAATGATGTAGAACAAATAACTGAATGGATTGAAGAAGAATTGGACCAAAAAGGGAAACTAGTAAAGTGCAGGTGTCATAGTCGAGCTCCGATTTCGGCCCAACCATTTCGAAAAGAGAACGACGAGATGAGTAGAATTTATCGCTATGCCGTGACATACGATGGATTTCGGTCATCCAAGTTCGTTTAGGACTCGAAAATTGCTTTTTAAGTTTCTGCTATTTTTGACATTTAGTTTATTTCGAAGTCTTTGCAATTTTAGTTTGTTTTAACTGGGTTTTCATGTAAACCCTTATATATTAAGGGTTAATTCATCATTTTTTTATCAGCTTTCAATTAATCTCGTGAGTTTATTTTTCTTTAATTTGGTGGATTCTAAAATTGTGTTTTCAAGGTTTTCACTTAAATTCCTTATTTCGCACCGCTTCAAGTAAGTGGCATGCCACCAAAATTATTAATTTCTCAATAAGAAATTTATCTATTTAAAAGCACTTATTTGGATCCTTCAATTTTGCTTTCTTGCACCAGTGATGCCCATAAAAATAAAAATCAAATAGTCACTCTGATCTGCTTAATGAAGCTCCAAGCTTTAGTCTATAGTAATCGATCCTGGCATAATTCAGCTCTTCTTCCGCTGATCTTTTTTTCGTGATGAAGCTCCGAAATCACTCATTACTACAAGATATCGATCAATCAAACTAATATAACGTTTCAAAAAATAAAAAATACAAAAAAATGCAGACGTGCACAAACACATCTTTGTACGTAGTTTGATACCTTATTAGCCGGTTTTCTAGCTGGGGTTGCTGACTTCAATTCTTGGGAGATTGACAAGTTCAATTCACCAGAATCATATAGGTTGCCTGGCGCCTTCTCGAAAGTATCTGTATTATCAGGATACGTAGTAGAATTATCATTCTTCAGCTTCCCAAAATTTCCAGTTGACTTCAGCTTCCCTGAATGGTCAACCTCAGCTGACTTACTGCATTTAACTGTCCCTCCAGAACATACCCCTCCCATTGTATGTATCCAAAAAATCAGTCCTATTCACAAAATGGAAACAGAGCAACCAAAATTCATTTTCAAAATGTACAGCTAAAAATTTACAGAGTGGAGAAAAAATAAAAAGAATTAACGATATACCTGAAAAATGAAAATAAAAATAGAAGAATCCTTAAATCAGAACAAAATCTTGGACTGCATAAATTGGAGTGCCTACCAATTGAAAAACGGGATTGAAAAAATGGGAGGAGAGTATGTAATGGGTAATGCCGTAATGGTAATAAAACCTCGTAAAATTTCAATAGAAAATCTGGTGGGAATTGGGTTTTTGCGCATCGATATTGATTTGATTTATTGAAACTCGATTTGTCGAAATTGATGAAGAAACGAGAATGAAGACACGAAACTAGAGTGAACAGTACTGGGTTCTTGACTTTTCTTCCCGTTTTTAATTTTATTTTACTTTTCTTCAGTTCAAAGAGTACTGAAGAAGAGTCTACTCTGACGGTAGGGGTGGAGGGCGGAGACTGAAGTCAGCCGTGTAGTGGTGATGGGATGTCACCGTCAGTTGGAAAATGAGTTTTAAGAACAAAGAATTTAAAAAATTCTCTATCCAACGAGTGCTTTGTCCATTTGTTCGATGATCTTAATAGTGCGAGTTGTGTTGAGTCTCGCCTTTTATATAAGTATCATTTATACGTAAAAATTATAATTATGTTCGGAGTATAGACGGATTGCACTATAATACTTTGATGTCAAGCAATCATTATGAGCTCAATCCATATGAATGTTGATTCGTATAGTAACTCGAATTTCAAACCATTCTTATCGGTTAACTATTCATGTTGTGAATGTAGGAGCATTGATTTGATTTATGAAGACTTTTTGAGTTCCAACTACAAACTCCCTCAATATAATCTCGTTCATTATTTAGGTGGATTTGTCGACAAGGTGCAATAACCAATTTGTATTCGCATTGAAAGCATGTTGTACACGTTTTGCCGTAGAATCATCGTACAATTATCCTACCGTCTCCAAGTTATGGTACAATTTTGACTAAACATACAAGTTTGAATACTAAGCCCCAGTTTGGCCCCCATTTTTTCCTATTACATTATATTAATTTTTTTCTCTCTCTTCATTTCAACTACACATTCATCAAATAAAATAATATTACACACAAATCTAAAACTTTTAATTACTTTTCTATCACACATTCTCCCATCAATTACTATTCCAAAAAATTTTAACACCCCAAAATGGGGGCCAAACAAGGGCTAAAGAATAAGAAAATTATGCCATTGTCATTGAATATGAAAGGACACATGATTTGCTACCTTGACCATTTCTTATAATTAGGTAAGAACTTAGCTCAGTTTGACAGGTGTTATTTTACAATTTTTTAATTCTCATACTTATTTTTAACCATACATTTATAAAATAAATATTTTGCCATCCCGCTACGCGTACCCGATTTTTTACACGGTGACGTGGCAACCCGGCCCAAAATTTAAAAGCCCCAAATCAAGTAACCCTTAATTACTTCCCCTTCCCCTTCCCCAAATCTCTATGAAGTGCGAGAAACCCATTGAAACCCTCGACGAAATCTCCTTCAAAATTGAGAACCCATATCAGTCCTACAATTCTTCAGATCTGTCGATGGCGATGGAAACAATACCCAAGAAATCTAATAATCCATATCACTAAAAATCCTCCAAATCTTGAGAACCTAAAATCCCCCAAAAATTGCTAACAGTCGAAGGCGATGGAAAGGGTACCTCCGAAATCTGAAAATTGTGGAAGGCAAGCGTAAACCATATAAAGTGTCTCTACGTTCAGTTGAAGGAGGCTTGTTTGGGTTGTTTAAGCCGAAGGCTTAAATCTCCTCCGAAGTTAGCAGGTTTCGAAATTCTATTTACTCATTATGATTTGAATAAATAAATGTATTGATTACTATGTTGGTTGAAAACCAAATTTGTATTTTAATTTCATCTTCATTTCGAAGTTAGCAGGTTTCGAAATTCTATTTGCTCATTATGATTTGGAATGTTATGTGTGTTAGAATAACAGGAAAGAATGCTGGAATCTGCTATAACTGTAGAGATAAGGGGCATTTTTTTGAGGATTGCCCGAACAAACGACGTTGCCCTTGGTGTAAACACGAATTCGTGACGTGCTTCAAGGTTGAAAGGGAGACTAAGAACAAGGGGAAATTGTTGAATTGCTGCAGTGCTAAGTGTAGGTACTGGGAATGGGTTGATGAAGGAGAGTCAAGCGGCAAATCATCAAGTACCATTACCGTTAACTCAAACAATTCTACAGCACTCGAAGAAGTTCAACATCTAACTCGCACGTTCCAATCTCTGTGTAGGGTAATTGAAGATAAAAACATTGAAATCTCGGTGAATGTGACAATACATAAAGGCAATGGTACTGTGGAAGTGGATACAAAAGCAAAGGGGCCTGCTTGATTGGTGTTTACATTTTGTTAGGATGAATTGAAATGTGCTGTTGTTTAAACTGTGATTCAAAGATGGTGAAGATGGTAAGAGTTGCTTATGGATTTGAATGTGGGATTCGTTTTTGAATTTGTAGTGTATTGTAATGTTGCTGGAATGTAATGGTGGTGGTGTTTAATTTAATGATGCTATTAATGTAATGTTGCTGGGATTAATCAAGTGCATTGGAATTTTGTCATATTCTTGCTACAAATTTGTACCAAATCAGTTTTATCACCAAATGTTATAACTATATAATGTCAAATATAGCCCCTGTTTGACACCCATTTTGAAGAAAAAAATGAATTCTGGAATAGTGACTGATGGAAAAATGTGTGGTTGAAACGTAACGAGAATTTTTAAGTTTATGTGTAATACTATTTTATTGATAGAATGTGTGGTTGAAATGAAAAATGAGAAAAAAAATGAGAATGAGAATGAGAAGAAAATTGGTGTCAAACGAGAGCATAGTAACTTGAACTGTTCTTTATTATGCATCAATACAATAACATAGATAATCAAGTACAAACAGGCCAAGTAAAGATAAAAAGTGGGGAAAATAATAGGATGCACTTCTCCCAGAAACATTCATGTATTGACAACGGTTTCGTCTTCAACGTCGAATTTGGACTTTGATCCGGAGAAGGAGAAATCAGAACAAATCCAGCTCCCTTAATCTCAACAATAATACAGCATTGCATTTCCTACTAAAAAAACTATAAAAGTTAATGCACGAACTATAGAAATTGAGGAATCAAAATGACGTAGTTTCACCACCATTACCTTGACCATTGAGTTCAACATTTGTTGAAGACGGAGTGATGATATTCGGGAACTGCAATTGTTGTGTGAGCACATGTCTGTTGCCATCACCCTATACCAACTAAAAATGTAAGCAAACAAAGTAGAAATCAAATATATTGTACATACATATCGAAAAATGCATTCATACGACATTCCCGGCCAGAAATGTTTTTTTAAATAACAAGGTACCCAACGGCTTCTGTTCGTGTACATTGCTGACAACCAATCATTATCTCCCAAGTGAAATGTATCGATCATCGNACGAAGATCTGGTCCCAAGTTTGTGTAAAATAACTAGAAATCACTGCACGCTATTAGGTAGCCAACTAAACTTTAACACGTGCATCGCACGTGCGCCACTAGTATATTAGAAAAAATCGCACTCTTGTCTACATGGTATCCGAACTTTTCTGGCAACTTTTTCAATATGTGCCACAAACGTCATCTATGTCTAGTGCTTGGAAACACGATCTGAGTTGCATTTTACATAGCCTTGTCCTGGTCCGAAATAATTCCCTGGGGAGCCTATCCATACATACACTGAAGCCAAGTCCTGAAAAGCCACTCAAATGTTTCGGTTGTTTCATTTGACACCAAACCGAATAGTATTGATTGTTCGTGATGATTAACTCCAACGAAAGGTGCAAACGACATGTCATACTTATTAGTTAGGTACGTGGTGTCAAATGTTACAACATCGCTGAACCCTTATATGCTTGTCTACTGCTATTATCAGCCCATAAAATATTCCTCAACCGTGACTCTTCATCTAAATCCATACTGAAATAAAAACCCAGGTACTTTGCTTGCATATTCGAAAAGTAAGCTTATATTGCAACAGCATCGCCTTCTCCAAGTCTTGACCGCCTTACTTTTTCAACATAGTTTCGAAAATCCTTTTCCACGCAAGTATTCTCATACCCATCTGCTTCTATAACTCCAGAGTTGTAACTTTTGTGCAACTGAATCCTTGCCATATCGTTCACTTCAAGCCGTCGTTTAACATAGGCACTCAATTCTTGGTTGCAATAGTACAATCTTGACTTCGAAGAACTTGTCTTATGATTGTCATTGTGATTGAGATTGACTGTGTTAATTTTCCAGATTCCACATGCATATGTAGAAGCAGTAAGTCTGGCTTTGCAACCTGTTTCAATGGTAGCCCACGACTTCAAAGATCCCCTCGAATTACTGTTTCTACGTCCTTCACGGCTACATGTGAGCACAACATATCTGACAACTCCATCATCATCCTTTTGCAAATTTCTTTTTCTAACTGGAAAGCCTATGTCGTACGCATATCTTTTGTAAAAATCGAACATTTCTTTTTCATCATTGAACTTCATACCCACCACAGGCACGATTGCACCATCTACTCATACAATCCCATCATCCACTAAATTCACACTGTCCACCAAAGTGTTCCCATTATCGGATTGTAATATAATATGTTCATCCACCTCTTCGAAAATTCCATTCGCTGCAATAACCAACTAATTAAATAATGTTAAAAATTATTCACATAAATAATTTGAGTTGGAAAATTTTGGTTTGGAAAATACCATTTTCACATTAAGATGAGGATGGGATGGGAGATATAAGAAACAGTATAATGCATAAACCCGTCTTAATCTAATATACAAAAGAGGGCACTTGTTTCTTTTCTTCTCTTTCTTTTATTTCATCTAAACAAAACTTGCATTATATCCAATAGAGTTTCTTCATAACCAAAATTTTTCAGCTAAAATATTGTAGTATGTCCAAACCAAAGTTTTCCCACCATTTTCACATTATTAAAAAACAATCGGGTAAATACATTTGCTTGTCATCTCCACTAATCGTTGTACGTTCCTTGCACCCGAATTCCCGTCGACGATCCGCCGTTGTTGGTTTCGGAGCGCTTGAAGATGAGGGAAATTTCAATTTTTTTTTGGATGTTCGGCGCGCTTGAAGAGCATAAATGGGTTTGGTGGGAAATGGGAATTGATGGGTTATTTGGCTTTTTTGACCCACTTGTCTTTATTTGCCTTTTTCTATTTTTTTTTTAAACATCACTTTCCACGTCACCGTGTAAACAACTGGATAAATGCAAAGGTACAAGAAGGTTTTCACGTAAATTTAAAATTTTTCTTACTTTTTACCATACATTCTCTAAAAAATTACTATTTAAAATATCATTTTTTTTTTTTTCAAAATAATAGCCATCAAACATGGTCTAATTAGACAATAATTTAAAACTACAAAATGACGATTCATTATTTTTCATGAATAATCTTATATACAATTTACCATGAAATATTACAAGACGACATCGTATAAAGTTACAAATAATAATTTTTTGTTGCATAATTTAAGAAAAATATATTTTTACTACAAATTTTTTTTTTGACTACAATTTTTATTTGATACACCACATTTTAATTACATTTAAATTCTTTAATCTTTGCTCATTGTATTAATTAATTTTTTTAACTTTTTTTTCATCGAATTCTTATCTCCACCCTTCCATTAATTAATATGTTTCGTCATTGATAATGATTTATATCAAAATATATATTTTTTGCTTTGAAATGAGTAAAAAATATTTTTTATGCTTTTTATTCATTTATTTTTAAAAAATATGTTGGAAAAATAAGTTATTTTACGTTATTTCAACGGAATTTTGGACATAAAACTATTATCAAATGCAAAATGTGTTAGCTAATAGAAAGTTTGATGATAAGAACAATGTGAAAAATCGTTACATACATAAATGATATAATGAACAAATATTAAGAAGCTTAAATAAAATTAAAAGGCAGTGCAAAAAATAAAAATTGTAATGTTAATATAAAAGAAATGTTGGGTGTACAGGGGTAGGGGTTCACCATATACCCTCTCACATGAGGTGGGTCTCGCCCAATAAAAAAGTAAAAAAAAATTAACCCCTTTGTGAGTTGTCGGTGGGGTATTGTACACCCAGCATTTTCCTTAATATAATTACTCTTTATTATATTGTTGTGTTCGAGGTCACTTCAGATAGTGTGCGGGCCCACTCCACTAGAATTAGAGAACACTAGAATTAGAGAACACAAGTAATTTTAGTAGTAATAAAGGCAAAATTGAAAACGGGTGAAGTTCAGACGACGACTAGTTATAAAATTCTACGCAAGTCTAAATACAATCGTGCTCAAATTATTTCAGTTCATCTAAAATTACTAGCGACTTTTTAGAACGGTGGCTAAAAACACCCGTGTTGAATTTTCCCATTTTTCTTCAGCAGTTTTTTTTTTCCAGCAACATGCTCCCCCTATTCAAACTCCATCCATTCTATTCAATTTCAACTGAAATCGCATCCAATTTACAATGAAGGTAGATTATATATTCTAATATTAAACAAGAACGTTGTAAGAACTGGACAGATAATACCATACCATTCTCTATAAACATACCCATGCACACAGGCACTATAAACCAACCATATGGACTTTAATTTTATCACTATTCACACACACACACACACACTCAAAGAGTGGAAGTGTGTAAAACACGTACAAAATTAGGGAGATCTTGCACGTTCAGAGAGGCCAATGCGGGAACCAAATCCGTGTAAAATTCTGGGAAATGATATGTGATGAACATGGGATTGATCAGACGAGTCAGTTCGTGGGCGATGGATCCTTGAATCTGTAGTTGGAGCGGATCGATCTGTATTACAATGGCTTCTGGCGAACGATATGTTCCCCGGGCAGTTCTCATGGATCTTGAACCCAGGACAATGGACTCCATCAGATGCGGCCCGTATGGGCAGATCTTTCAGCCGGATAATTTTGTGTTTGGACAGAATGGGGCGGGGAATAACTGGGCCAAAGGGCATCATACAGAGGGGGCTAAGTTGATTGATTCAGCTTGATGTTGTTCGTAAAGAGGCCAAAAATTGTAATTGCTTGCAAGGTTTGATGATGTTTTGTTTTCATAAGTTCATAATTGAGTTCGTGTATATTTACAGATTCTAATGTTTCGAATATGTGTCTGCACATATGTTTTGGGCATTTTTTAAAGCTCTATTATCAGCATTGTAATTTGTGTGCATGTGTTCGGTCCAAGTCGAGCTCAAAGATCTTTAGCTATCGATCCGACATAACAACTCAAAAGATAAAGAAGTATTGTTAATTTCTTCATGCTCGTTTCAATTTGAAAGTACCATGTTGACAAATGAGAATCTCCTTCGTTACATGATCTCTTCTTCATATAGGTACATATATCTTCTATATGGTTTGATGGACTAGAGAAATTCGCATCATTTATAGGTTCTAATCTAAGAATACAATAGCAATATAGGTTTTGATAGACTGCTTTTGACAGTTGGTTTTATGTTGCCAAGATTTAAGGTATGCTACTCGTTTGGAGGACGCACGACATCTGGAATGGGTACCCTCTTGATTTCGAAGATAAGAGAGGAATTATCTGGACAGAATGATGCTCACTTTTTTTCTGCTTTTCCTTCACCAAAGGTCTCCAATACCGTTGTAGAACCTTATAACGCTACACTCTCTATACACCAATTGGTGGAGAATGCAAATGAATGCATGGTCCTTGACAATGAAGCACTCTATGACACATGTTTCCGAACTTTGAAGTTCACCACTCCAAGCTATGAGTACCCCACATGTTCACTTGTAGAATGAGTATTAGCTAAAAACATGGACACAAACATGAACGCATCGATTTTAATTTTGCATGTGAAATCTTTTGATTTATAGTCAAACTATATGTTATAACTACCTATATGAGTGTTCGTGCTTTATAGGTGGGACATTCTCGTTTATGCTAACACTTATGTCCCGGACCTTTTGATTGTAGTTGGTGACTTGAACTATTTTTAATCTCTGCAACTATGAGTAGGGTAATCTGCTGCGATTTCTCGACCAGCCGAACTCGGACCTCCGAAAATTGGCCCTGAACTTGATACATTTTCCACATCTTCATTTCTTCATGGTAGGATTTGCACCACTTACCTCCCGCGAATCACAGCATAACATCTCTCTAACTGTCCCAGAGCCGACTCAGTAAATGTAGGATGTAAAGAACATGATGTGCGTAGATGATCCTTGCCATGGACGTTACCTGATAACCTTAGCTATGTTCCTAGGGAAAATGAACACTAAAGAAGTGGATGAACAAATTAACATGCAGAATAAGAACTCATCCAAGCCAGACCTATGTTTTGTGGGCCTGAAGCGAACTTTAGATTTTGGGCTCCTAACTCATAGCAAACAATTGATTTTTTCATTTATAAAAGATTTGCGAAAGAGGAAATTACAGCTTGACAGGGTTTTAAAATTACATTTTCATAAATCAAGAATCAAGTTTCATAATACAGAAATCGGGTTTTAATTAATAATTAATATGATTTTAATATTAATAAATTTTAATCACTACATCAAATATTAATCCATCCACCCAAGCCCTAATTTCCTCTCTCCCTCCTGCCTATACATCTATTTCCCATCTCTCCCTCCTCTCTACGACGCGCGACTGCAACATGACACCATAGTGACATGAGCGCTGGCAGTGGAGTCGATGTCATCCCGTGGAAGAAAGCGATGGGTGGTTTTCATACTGCTATGGTGATGGTGGATCTAGCGACAGTAAGGGTGGTGATGTGATGGTGCAGGTGCAGGTGCAGTGCTGTGGGCGCGATGGTGGTGCAGTGTTTGGGTATGTGTGTGCGTGCGGGGACTGTGGTGGTCGTGATTTGCGGTGGTGGTTATTTTTGTGCTGTGGTCGAGATTTGCTGTGCATTATGGTCAAGATTTGCACCGTCGCAATCTGGTGTGAGATTTTTTGGTTGTGTGGAGGATGGGGGCTTGGTAGTGATGGTGTTTGGGTAGCAACGATTATGTTGGATCTGGTAGTGGCTGTGGTTTTATTAGTGGCGGCGGCGGTGGATCTTCTTGTTGGTGATAGTGGTTTTGAAGTTGAAAGTGGTAGTTTGTTGGAGGTGGTGACGTGGTGCTGGGAGGTTGTGGTGTTGGTTTGTTTTAGATGGTGATGTTGCTATTGGGCAACGACGGTGGTGGTGCTGCTGGAGGCAGTGGCAAGGTGATTGTTGCAAGCGTTGGTGGTGGTCACAAATTATTTGGTTGATTGTGACCATCAAATTGGTTAATATATGACCAATAAGCAATATGTGACCAAAAAAAGATAAATTGTGACAAAAAAAAAATAACATGTGACATAAAAATTTGTTAATTTGTGACCGTAATTTGATAATTTGTGACTGTATATTAAGTTGTGACTTATAATATTTATGATTTATGAACGAAAAATAAATTGTGACTTTTAAATTTTTAATTTGTGACCGATGAACAAACGGTGACCTATAAATTTTTTGAATTGTGATCATAAAATAATATGTGACATATAAAAATTCTGATTTGTGACCGAAAAATAATATGTGACTAATTAAATAGCTAATTTGTGATCAAATTGTATAGATATGTGATTGTATAGATATGTGACCTTAATATATTCAATTAATAAATTAAATCATAAATAAATTTTAATAAAAACCTGATTTTTGAAATTTAAAACATATATCCTTAATTTTGAAATGAGTGATACTTAATCCCTTACTTATAAAATTTTCCCTTTGTGAAATTAAATCTGTTAACTTAAAATCAAAAAATAAAACAACAAATAAAATGAAATACTTAAAATATGTATATTATAATATTTTCTTTTATTACTATTAAAATACTTATACATATCTTCAATCTGATTTCAAATTAATACCTCTACTATTTCTCTCTCCTTTCTTTTTTGAGCTACAGACGCATATTTAGGAGTCATGGTATTTGACACCAGTCATTCAAAAGCTAACACTTACTGAAACTTGGGTGTAAAAGAGGCTCAAATTAGTTTAAGAAAGAAAATCAAAATTGATGACCCAATCACAATTCACAGCTTATAATAAAAGTACTCAACTTAATATTAGCCATAATTCACAGTTTATCAAGTCTACAGTTTTAGTTGTTGACTTGCTGTTAATCGACGTGGCAGGACTAATGTAAGTTCATGAAGTTTAAGAAATTAATGTAAATTAACGGAAGAACCTAAACTTTGTTAACTAAACTCGATTAGTTATTAATTTTTATGATTTCAGTAAGAATAAGGCTTACAAGTACAAGTAACGACTATCCAATAAGCAATTAAGCAGTATGAATTTCGTTCACCAAAAACTGGAATACTAGATACACTTCAAAGTTCAAATCTTCAAGATATTGCAACAAATAGACAAAGAACCCAATTTGAATCTCACCCAAAAACAAGAAAATGAATTAATATTTACCAATGAAAACAGACCGAAGGATGCTATCGCATGTCGGATTTTGGAAAAGTTGCAGACATGCAGAGTAGTGTCGTTGGTTCATTTCTAGCCGTCGCTAACGTGGAGCCGAGGATTGCTTCTAGCCAATCTATCCATGACCTTTGGTAACACGACTCACTTGACACATCTGATGGTAACCATTGGAGCTCTACCATAATATTTATATCCATTGGTGTCAAAATGGTCACACAACATAGACCCAATACAATCCCTCCTGTGAAAAATTGGACGAAATCATCAAAGTCTGGGTCGAGTGTTTGCCAGAATAAAGAGGCTATGTTGTATTGTATCCTCTGATGATTTATGAAGATCGATCAAATAAGTCGAATCACAGTTTATCAAGTGACATAAAATGAGGTTATAAATAAAACGAGTTATAATTCCCCGATAAAGAGAGAATGATTTGCAGCCTTGTTTTTAATATTGGAATATTAATAAAATGAAGTTATATTTGAAGTTTCTAACTTGCAATTTTAAAAATCGCGGGCCCCACCCCCTATGTGAGAAGGATGTGAAAGTGAATGTGAACATTTAACATTTTTGTAATAAAAAATAAGAATGCAACAGAACTTTTAATAAAAGAATATATATATAATTGCAAAAACTTCTACTTCGTTTGTTATACATTTAAAGTTGAGGGACTCATTTCGATCTTTTTTATAAGTTGCCGACTTGCACTTCCAAGTTACCGGTAAAAATTCAAATTTGCTACCAACGTTATCATAAATTTTCCCAGGTTTTTGTTAGATTGATTGCTCCAAAGTTACCTTATTAAGGATTTTCCTGTTCTACATGGAAATATATTTCTCACTGCAAATACTTCCTCAAATTTTCATATATTTTTTTTTATTCATCAATCACTTCAGCAATTCGTTCCACGCACAAAATTCAGATAAGTTCTCGAGATAAAGAAGAAAATTAGTGAGAGATTGCAAAAAGAAATACAATAAAACGGAGCGCCAGCATTACATCAAGAAATCCTCTGCTTTCTTTATGGAGGATGAAATTGAAGTCAGTCAAATTTTGGTTGATCTTCATAAATTGATCGACGTTTCTGAACCACGGAAACGGGGTTGCAAAAGAAAGATAAGCAACATGGGTGAAGGACAATCCACGTCTCATGATGCAGCTTCATCGACACCAAAGTCTGTTCTGAATATTGAAAATAAAAGGCCCAAGATCATATGGAGATTCACCAAACGTCCTATCTGTTTCTCGTATAGTGAATCAGATGAAAATAATTGCTCCAACAAAAGGGTATTTTCTTGTTCCAATCTTTATTTCATTTTCATTTTTCTTTTGATTTTTCAGTAAATCTTTATTATAATTTGAATGGATTGGAATTTCGATGATTTATTATCTTTATTATATTTGTTTTCTTTTTTATTTTTCATTCCCCAATGTGAATCTTCAAGAATCACCTGTTTTTGTGGACTATGTTTTATAACTATTTCCGTCACTTTTTATTTTTATTTTTCGTGAAAATATTTATGATAATGAGTGTGTTTTTGTAAATTCTTTTTATTTTCTTGGAGTATTTCTTTTCTGAAATTTTATTTTTCATTCCTTATTTTAGTCTTCAAGAATCCCCTATTCTTGGGATCTGTTTTATTAATAGTTTCTTGGTTGATTTTTCAGACCAAAACCGAGTATTGCAACATGGAGATAATGACAGTACAAGATGGATTTAAATGCCCTGATCTTAACATCCCTATCAATGACACAATTCGGGAGGACGACTCATCACAGCCGGTCGACATTAACAAAGTTGTTGCAGACGCCAATGCGGATAGAAGGGCCAAATGTGCTGAAGCCAGGAGGATAAGGCGGGGATTAATCAATGCAAAGTTGATGAAGAAGTTTGCTATTCGCCATGCTTGATGGATTGGAATGGACAAATCAAGAAAGAGAAGAAGTTTAGTGCTGAAAATTGGACTTTATACATATGTTCCTTCTGTAATTCTTTTGCTGAGTTTTTACTTTTATGGGCTGAAAGTGTAAATTGAAGAGTTGTATAGAGATATCTCAATCTGATTTTCTGAGTTTTATTATCATCTTCATATGTTTCTTTATCTTAAAGGCTGAACTAACTTTTTAATGTAATTGATTACTGAATATGCCTCATTAAAGAAAAGCAAAACGGAATTTATTGCCTTGCAAATGGTTAAAATCTTGTGTTATTCGGATCTTTATTGTATATGTATCGTATTATTTTGTTTGTATATTTTTCGTGAATGTGGAGTACTTGAAGCACCTACACTACACATGTACGTGTCACATGCACTTTATAGATTCATATTTTTCATCTATATGAAGGTTTGAGTAATTTTATAGTGTGCGCATCTTCGTCCAGTATTCGCGTCAAACCTGCTTAGAGGCGAACAATTCTAATATACTATTGGTTAGATAGTTCAAGCATAAAAATTTCTTTATTGTTTCATATAAGATCAATTGTACACGATTCCTAATGTTTACTGCAACTTTTACTTTCAGTTACAATTCATGATGTTAATCTCCAAAACATATCATCTTTAGGTGCAATTGGTCTGTACTATTTCCGTTCTAGAAAGCTCACCACCATCTCCGCTACCCAACCACTTAAACCCCACAGCCCCATCCTAACTGTTGTCTATAACTAGCGATGCTAACTGCCGCCAATGCTTCATTCCCAACTCCGAACAAAGAATTAGAAGTTCAATGATATGATTGTTAACATACATGTCTTGAGAAATAAAATGTTTGGTAAAATTTGACATCTACGAACTATGCATTTGGCAACTTATTTAGAAGTAAAACTGCATTTATGTTGCCTTCTGTGAGTGTACATTTGCATTTTTCTTTTCTTTTTTCTTTTTTTTTTTTTTTGATTTGCTATAATATATTGTAATTAGTTAGATTGTGCAAGGTTATTTCTATCTTTTACCATGTCTTGTTTCTGTATATATAATTGACGTCTGTAGCCCCAATCTCTTTCAATTGGAATTCAGCTGAGTTTAATAGCTTTTCCCGCCTAATCTCCTCATTCTCAGATTGTGTTTTCCTTATTGTAAAATTCACATGGTATCAGAGCAGTGATTTGCTTCTGCAATGGCGAATAAATCAAATCCTCAAATTGAGAATCAAAACCAAATGAATCAAGCAAATTTCCATGTTGATCCGTCATTTGCTGAGACAATGATAAGAGATGTGGCGTCGATTGTCAATCGCCTGATTAGCGATCCTAGCAGTCCATATTACCTTCACTATGGTGATAATACTAGAATGCAATTGATTTCTGTGGTGCTCAGTGAAGAAAATTATGCTACCTGGAGTAGAGCTGTGGTTATGGCCCTAAGTGTGAAGAATAAGGAGAGTTTCATTGATGGTTCCATTACCAAACCTTCATCTGATGATCCTCTCTATGGTGCCTGGAGGAGATGTAATCATGTAGTGTCTTCATGGATCATTAACTCGATTCCAAAGGAATTGTACCCTAGCGTGATGCATAAGGACTCAGCTAGGCAAATCTGGATTGAACTCAGAGATCGGTATAATCAAGGCAATGGTCCTCGCATCTATGAGCTCAAGAAGCAAATTGCTTCGATCTCTTAGCCAAACAATTTTGTTAATTCTTATTTTAACATATTCAAGGGGCTTTTGGAAGAATTGGAAAATTACAGACCGAAAATCAGCAACAACACTAACTACAAATCTGAGGATCAAACTATGCAGTTTTTGATGGGATTGGATGAACAATTTTCTAGTACGAGAAGCCAGATTTTGTTAATGGATCCTATACCCTCACTTAATAGAGTATTTACCTTAATTCTGCAGGAAGAAAGACAAAGAGAAATTGTAAATAAAAGGCAACATAACATGGTTGATGGTGCTGCCTTTACCAGCAAAATTGATGCCTAGGTACATAGGCAATCGGAGATCTACCTTTCAGAATCAGATACAACGAAGAGAGAGGCCTATATGTAGTCATTGTGGAATGTCTGGATATATTAAAGGGAAGTGCTACAAACTGATTGGATATCCTGGCCACAGATTTGCCAAAGATAAATATCATGTTGCCAATGCTGCTAATCAGGTGTCTCGATTGATAGATTCTGAAATAACAAGTTCATTATCAAATGTTACTATCACACCTGAGCAATGTCAACAGATAATTGCAATGTTGGCACCACAAATCCAAGGACAGGTTTCAAGATCCAATAAGCAATTCAAAAATGCTAGTTCTGCCTCATCTCCTACACCTGATACTTTTGCCTTATCAGGTAATATTATCACACCTACAGGTAAGTGGATAGTTGACACTGGTGCATCTGAACATATGGTTTATTCTATCAAACATTTAACCAAAGTCACTGGCAGCATTAATGGTTCAGTTCGCTTGCCTGATGGTAGTTTGGCTACTGTTACGCTCACTGGAAATGTGCATTTATCACCTAATCTCATCTTAACAAATGTTTTAGTTGTGCCAAGTTTCAAGTTCAATTTAATTTCTGCTAGCCAGCTGATACTTAAGCACCATTATTGTGTGATATTTCTTCACAACTGTTGTTTTCTTCAGGACCTTTCAACATAGATGACAATTGGGGTAGGCAAGCTTGAAGGTGGTTTACGTCATTTTCAGCGTCCTGATCACTGGTGCAATGGTCAATCTCTAGAGTCTTCTTCCAGTTTTACCTCTGCTCATAGAATAAATAATCTTTTTACATCATTTCCAAGTTGTAATAAATCGAATTCTGCTACTTGTACTTCTATTAGCAATTTTGCCAATATGAATATTGACATTTGGCATTGTCGTTTAAGCCATATTCCTATATCTCAATTGTTATTTCTACATAAATCCATTCCTGCTATTACGTTTAACAAACACCTGCATTGCTCTGTTTGTCCCATGGCTAAGCAACATAGATTGCCATTCCATGCTAGTGACACGAAATCTTCCATGCCTTTTGAGCTTATTCACTGTGACATATGGGGTCCCTATGCTGTCCCTGCCATTGATGGATCAAAGTATTTTTTAACCATTGTTGATGACTATAGTCGAATGACTTGGATCTACCTTATGAAGGATAAGTCTCAAACAAGGCCTATCATTTATTCATTCTTTCACCTAATCCAAACACACTTCGGCTGCAAAATTAAAACCCTCAGGTCAGACAATAGCTCTGAGTTTCTTATGTATGACTTCTACCAAAATAATGGCATTATTCACCAAATGAGTTGTGTTGAAACTCCATAGCAGAATGGGGTTGTAGAAAGGAAGCATTAACATATTCTTAACATTGCTAGAGCCATAAAATTTCAGGCCAAATTACCTCAAAAATTCCGGGGACTGTATTTTGACTGCCACTCACATTATTAACCGAACTCCAACCAAAATCCTCAATAACAGAACACCTTTTGAAATATTATATAGGAAAAGGGCTTCTTATACACATCTTCGAGTATTTGGATGCCCATTTTATGCATCAACACTCAAAAGAAACTGTACAAAATTTTATCCCAGAGCAATTCCCTGTGTGTTCATTGGTTACCCTTATGGCATGAAAGCATATAAATTGTACAACCTTCAGACAAATTCTACCTTATTTCTAGGGATGTTATTTTTCATGAAAATATCTTTCCATTTCATTATCCTACTTCTTTAAAATCTATCTTTTGCTGTGATGATCCTCCACATCAGACTTATTCTTACTTTCCAAATCCCTCTCCTCAATTCACTGATATTCCTTTCTTTGTTTCCACATATTCTAATTCTCATTCATCAGTGCATCCTGATATTCATTCCTCTGATTCTCTTTCCCCATCACATTCACTTTCTCAGAATGAATCACCCCCTTTATCTAATACTACCTTACCAAATTTCCCTACTGATACCACATCTGACTCTTTACCCTCTAAGACTATGCCTCTTCCATCTGTCATTCCACCTAGAAAATCAGATAGATCAAAAAGAACTCCTTCTTATCTTCATGATTACCATTGCAACTAGGTGACTCAGGTTCCTAATCTCCAGTCAGATTCCATGAAGAAAGGGCCTTCATCTGAATCACGGTGTCCCATATCATATTGGCTAGATTATGGACAATTATCTCCTACACAAAGGTCTTATGCTTTGGCTCTATTTATTGTCTTTGAGCCTAAGTCTTTTGCTGAGGCTTCTAAGTCTTCAGAGTGGTGCAAAGCCATGGATGTAGAATTCCAGGCTCTAGTTTCAAATAACACATGGTCAGTTACTGAACTTCCCACTCATAAGAAACTTGTTGACTATAAGTGGGTTTTCAAGGTAAAGCTGAAATATGATGGCACAGAGGAGAGAAAGAAAGCTAGGTTGGTGGCTAAAGGGTTTACTCAGCAGGCTGGTCTGGATTATGAAGAAACATTTTCACACGTCGCCAAGTTAGCAACTATAAAGACTCTTTTTGTTGTAGCTGCTCACCGTCGATGGCATCTCTACCAATTAGATATCAACAATGCCTTTCTTCATGGAGATTTGGAAGAAGAGGTGTATATGAATATGCCCCCAAGTTATGAACAGCAGGGGGAGAGTGGGACAAGACTTGTTTGCAGGTTGAATAAGTCCATTTATGAGCTGAAACAAGCATCAAGGCAATGAAATACTAAACTATCTACCTACATTATTTCACAGGGGGTTTTGATAAGTACGTTTTACATACTTATTTTACTGTCAAAACATGAGCAATTGTTGATTAATATGTTGAAATATAGCTTAATTCTATGCAATTCATGTTTTGTAGGACAAGTGATGAATGTAGCGGAAATAAAGATAAACAATTGCTAAATGACCAGAATGGAAGAAAGTGAAAGTTCAGGGACTAAAGTACAAATACTCAAAAATTATGTCGGGACTCACGATGAAGGTTCGA